GAAGGGTCACCGGACCCGAACCGTTAACTCTGTTTTCTCCTCCACAGATGCTGCCAGACCTGCTGAGCTTTTCCAGCAACTTTGTTTTTGTTCCTGATTTACAGCATCCGCAGTTCTTTTGGTTTTTATTGTCGGATACGGTTGGGCAAATGTGTAATCTTTTTAAGGGAATCTATTATCTTAAACATGGTATAAAACCATTGTTTTGTAGCAAATCGGAGAGTTGTAAACCATCTTTGATGGGTACACCTTCCTTGTATGCATGAATAAATACTTAGATAAAGAATCATAAATCTTGTTTAGTCTTTAAGGAAGAAAGGTCCAAAAACAACCAGAGAGCATACAACATTTCATTGCATGTTGTGCTGGTGATCGAGTGACTTTAGCAGAATGCAACCTATAACTCAAGACATTTAAGGGATCCCAACTTTCTCAGTGCCAAAATGTATGTTCGGTCCTATACTTGGGATATGTTTAACCTGCAAATTTTAAGGGATTAGAAAGGAAATTAAAAAACAGGACTTGAAAAGCACTGATCTCAGGATTACTCGTGAGTGCCACGTGACAGTAAGGAGAGGAACAGAAGGATTGAGTGATTGAATGTGTGGCTACCGAAATAATGCAGTATGGAGCACATCAGATTTCTAAGGTATTATCAGGGGGATGGGAATCTGAGGGGTAGCTCAAATTGGAGGAAAAAGAGGAAGAAGAAAACGGCAAGTGAAACTCAAAGACAGGAATAATGAAGGGGAACACTAAATAAGCTTATAATGTGGAACAATGCCCAAAAAAAAATCAAAAAATAAGGACAAGTGCAGAGAATTCTGAAGAAACTCAGCAGGCCCTCAGCATCCTCTGTGTTTATTTTGGATTTCCAGCATCCGCAGTAATATGTTTTTAAAAGATAAGAACACTCGCTACTTGAATGCTCATAGCATTTCACAACAAGATGATCTTACTGCACAATTAGAGGAAGATTGAGCAATTGTCATTACTGAAACATGGTTGCAGGGTGGTAAAGACTGGGAACTAAATTTTAAAAGATATTCAGTACGTAGGAAGGAGAGAGCAAAAGGAATAGATGATGGTGTTGTGCTGGTGACAGAGGATGAGATCAGTACATCAGTAAGGGAGGATCTCAGATCAAAATAAACAAAATGTGTTTGGGTGAGGTAAGAAAAAGCAAGAAGCATCAAACATTGGTGGGATTTATTTATAGACCACCAAATAGTCATGGTAGTGTGAGGCATGATGTTTAATCAGGAAATTAGAGGAGTATGTAGCAGGGATAAGTCTATAACCATGGGTGACTGCAATCTGCATTTAGATTGAATAAACTAATGAGGATTAATGCTGTGGGGATGAGTTTCTGGAATCCTTTAGGGATGGTTTTCCAGAGCACCATGTTGAGAAACCAATTAATGAACAGGCTGTTTTAGATGCAGCATTACATAACGTGAACTTAATAACAAACACAGAAATTGCTGGAGAAACTCAGCTGATCTGGCAGCATTTGTGGGAAGAAAGCAGAGTTAATGTTTTTCAAGTCCGGTGACTCTTCATCAGAACTGTGAGTAGCTAGGAAACAGTGGTACATATGTTGAAGCCAATGTGGAGGGAGGGTGGGGTTGAGAAGGGGAGAGGCGAACGGATGGGTGGTGACAGAGCCCAGAAAGAGAGAGAAATGAAAAGGGAAGGTAAACAAGGAGCAAATGGATAGCCGGTCAAGATCAAAGAAAAGCTGAATAAGCGATAGTAAGAGCTAACAGTGAGAAAACCTGTCCCCACTTCGGCTTCAGCATAAATACGACCTTCTCCGTGCTACTAACAGTTCTGATGAAGAGACAGCAGACTTGAAACATTAACTCTCCTCTCTTCCTACAGATGCTGCCAGACCTGCCGCATTTCTTCAGCAACTTCTGTTTTTGTTTCAGACCTCCAGTACCCACAGTTCTTTTATTTTATTTCTTTATTTATTCACGGGATGAGGGCGTCGCCAGCTAGGCTGTATTTATTGCCCATCCCTAATTGCCCAGAGGGCAGTTAAGAGTCAACCATATTGCTGTGGGTCTGGAGTCACATGCAGGCCAGACCAGGTAAGGATGGCAGTTTCCTTCCCTAAAGGACATTTGTGAACCAGACAATTGACAATGGATTCACAGTCATCATTAGATTCTTAATTCCAGATATTTATTGATTTCAAATTCCACCATCTGCCATGGCAGGATTCGAACCCAGGTCCCCAGAACATTATCTGGATCTCTGGATTAACAGTCCAGCGATAATACCATTGCCTCTCTTTATGAAATTAATAACCTTGTTGTCAACTTTTAGGGATGAATGACAATAATATAACAGAATCTTACATTACAGCTGAAAGTGGGGTAGTTCAAATATGAAGACAGGGTGTTAAAATTTTAACAAATAAAATTATGAAAGTTTGAGGAGCAAATTGGCTGAGGTGGGGATTTAAAGGTGTGATGGTACACAGGCTATGGATAGTCTTTAAACAATTTATTACATAGCTTACAGCAACTGTACATTCTTTCAAATAAACAGGAGCCCCTTGAAGTCCATCAACTGTGGCTAACAAAGAAAGCTAAGAATTTTATGAGATTAGAAGAAAAGTTGTGAGATTTTGCAATAAACTAAAGTTTGGGAAGTTTTAGAATATAGCAAAGGAGTAATAAGAAACTAATAAAGAAATGGAGAACAAAATACCAATGTAAACCAGCAAAAGAAAACATAAAAACAGACTGTAGAAACAGGAATGCAAAAAGGAAACCTTTGGCTAAAATAAATGTGGATCCATTACAGGTAGAGTCACATGAATTTATAAATGGAAGTAGAGAATTAGCAGGGGAGCTAAATGGTTGTTTTGTCTCTGACTTCACTGAGGAGGGCACAATAATTGTACCAGAATTAGAGATCCAAGGCACTAATATGAAATGGGAACTGAAAGAGAAAAAGTACCTGTAAGAATGTTAGTGTTGGAGAAATGAAAGGCATGTTTAGGTTGTATTCACCTTAAAAGCCGGTGCATGGGGTCTAGCAGGTCATCTACATGTATCTACAAGAATTTCAGACACATTTCAACCAATAACACCCATCAGATTTTATATACACTTACAAGTCGACCCCTACATTTATAAAGATATTTTGAAGCTTTAATGTTTGACTAACATACTGCGACCTATGGTAAATATTTATGCTGTTACAAAAGTTACCTTCAGAATCATCCAGTGTATGTTGATGAATATTATCAGTCTGTTTTATAACAGAAGCATTCTCTCTGTTGACTGTTTGACTTGAATCCACCAGGCTTCTTTCTGCCAAATTTCCAGGAGCTGTATCCTGGACATCGTTGCATTGCATTAAGTCAGTCATATTTCTGTCATCTGTTGAACATACATTACAGTATTGTTACACATTAATGCCCAACCGATCTTTCCCCAACATATCAACAATGATCCCACCTAAAGAATTACTTCAAATGTTGCCTCAATGTTATGATACTTCAGATGGTGAAAGACATAATCAATTAGCAAAGTCATTTTTGCAAGACCACAATGCCTCACAAGACTCAGCTGGTTAAAGGTAGGGCTGGAACATCATCCAAGCTGTATGTAGCAAAATATACTTCCAGACAAAATAGCAATATTTAAAAATTAAGTCATTGACAAATGAAGCTTTACATCAAAATAGTCCATTGGGACCACTATTATTTAAATACTGGCAGACTACTGTTCTTCCCTTAGAGAAAAAAAGACATGTTTTCAAAAAAGCATGTATTCACTAAGTAAGGAAGCAGGAAGATCAACCGCTATCTGGAGCTTTTCAAGGTAGATCAAGGGCTGGAGTCAAATCTGCTGCTTGTGAGTCAGACAAAGCGCTGCTAATTAATGACGGTATAACACAACAGAGAGAAATGATCTAAGTTCAGGAAACCATGATGTAGAAATGGTTTGCGTAAAGACAGGAAATGATAAAGGCAGAGTGGTGTACAGGTCTCTTAACAATAATCAAATGGGTGGATCAAATCATAGAGGTCAAAATAACAGGAGCTCGTCAGAAAGGTACGGTAACAACCATGGGGGATTTACTCAACATATAAATTGAAAATATCAAAAGGTAGTCTTCTGCTTTTGGGAGATTTTCTTAGAACAGCACATTCTGGAGCAAACCAGAATGCAGGCTATACTGGACTTGACACTGTGCAACTAGATAGGATTAATAACCTCATACAGAAGGTACCCCATGGAGTAATTATAATATTGATTTTTTTTTCTGTTCACAGAATGTGGACATTATTGGCTATGTCAGCAATTATTGCTCATCCCCTAACAACATTGTGAGGATCTGGAGTCACACGTAAGCCAGACCAGGTAAGGATGGAAGATTTCCTTCCCTGAAGGACATTAATTAACCAGAAGGGTTTTCAAATCTATCAACAACAGTTACATGGTTGTCATTAGATTAGCGTTTTATTCCAATTTTTCTTAATTGAATTTAAATTTCACTTTATTTAAATTAAAATTTTAAAATTTTAAATAGCGGAACACTTAGAAGCATTAACATACAGAGGGATCTAGGCGTACTGGTCCACAGTTCCCTGAAAGTGGCAACACAAGTGGATAAGATGGTCAAGAAGGCATATGGCATGTTTGCCCTCATCAGTTCGGCCACGGAGTATAAAAATTGGCAAGTCATACTGCAGCTGCATAGAACTTTAGTTAGGCCACAGTTGGAATATACAGTTCTGGTCACTATGCTTCCAGAAGGATGTCAATGCTTTGGAGAGGGTGCAGAGAAGGGTATCAGCCCATGAAGAGAGATTGGACAAACTTGGTTTGTTTTCACTTGAAAATTGGAAGTTGAGGAGCGACCTGATAGAAGTTTACAAAATAATGAGAGGCATGGATAGAATGAACAGTCTTTTTCCCAGGTTAGGCGTGTTAATTAGTAGGCTACATAGATTTAAGGCAAAAGTGAGAAATGTAAAGGAAATATGGGAGGCAGGTTATTTTACACAGAGGGTGGTGTGTGGAATGTGCTGCCAGAGGAGGACATGCAGGCGGATATAACAACAACATTTAAGAAGCATCTTAAGCAGGGTGGGCGTAGCAGAAAACAGGATGGAGCAGGTGGTGGAAGCAGTGTGGTGGTGGGGCAGATCACTTTCTCACATGGTGAGCTTCTGGTGAGGTTAGTTTGAAAAGAATAAGCTTATGAGCTTCCAAAGTAGCTTGACAGGGTAGACTCTAACAGGCTGTTTCCCCCAGCTCGGGTATCTAGAACGTGGAATGGCCACATCATCTTCTAGTCCTATTTTGTTTGTCCTATTGCAACACATTAGTAATGAAATGTTAATTATATTCTGAAAATACTTAGATCAAGGGCATTGCTTATATGGGTACTTAGAGCACCTGTAAAGAGAGACTGCTGGAACACTGTTAGTTGGTGGGAGCAGATAGGTAATGCTCTATCTTGTGATTGAACCTACTATTAAGAAAAGTGTTACTGCCTTATTTGACACTTCATCAATTGACTTGGGATTAAAATAATACCACATAAAATCTGCACTGTTCTCACTTAACCTACTATGGAAAGAGCAATCCTCAAGTCCTCAATCACTGATGAATCCTAAATTAAAGCACCAAAATGAGATGTAAATGGAAGTTCACTTAAAATGCTGGGCATGGTAGGCTATGGACCAAGCGCAGGCAAACGGGATTATTGTAGTTTGTTGTTTGTTTTAGTCAGGATAGACATGTTGGACTGAAGGGCCTGTTTCTATGCTTTATGATGGAATGACTTCACCGGAAGAACAACTTTCTATGTACTCCAAAGGCGCTTTGAGGCTCACAAGAACAAATGATTGACATCCCTGTGACTAATGTCTAATGTGACTAGAACTCTTGCTTTTCCTTTCCCCTCCCAATGAGACATTACAACCCAATCAACACAAAATCTGGATTGACTAAGAAAATGCAGGCTTTAGCAATACTTGAAAAAGTAACTCAGAAAACTCAAAAGTCACTTGGAGAAAAATGTAGGCAGATAGCATGGCACTTCTTCTGTTAAAGGTAAATGTTGCGCTGTTATGTTCTTGCTAGACTTACCCCATGAGTGAGTGGCTGACCATTTTCATGCAAGAATATTAGTATGTTAATAATGACAGGCTGCCCATACACATTACTCCACACCAGGAGTATGCATTCAGTAATCTATTCCAGAATCTACTCTTTATGCCAATAGCAAGGAATGGATTCAATCAGTGCTTTGTGAAATAACTCCACAGACGCCAGTATCCTATCAACAAGTCACCCTTTATTTATATGAGTACAGTAGATGACACTGACCCAGCCAGCTCAGAGCTGGCTCCTAGAGTGAGCAGAATCGCTGATACTCCTGTTTATATCTGTCAGCCAGGGCTCCCTGATTGGACCTGGTTAACAGACCCAATCAGGGAGCTCATATTCTGTGAGATCCACCTGGCTGTCCTCATTCCAATCACTACACTATGAACATCCAGAAAACAATTTGGACAATTTTCTTCAACGTGAACGTCAAACCTCATGACATGTTAATGAAATGAGCTGTGAGGACATTAATGCTCTTAAAACATTAAATCTCACTGACATTGTGTTAACATCAGAACCCTGTGTCAATTTGCAGCAACATTCAGAACAGTAACAATCGCAAACCTGTTATTCTCGGAGACAAACTGGGCTCCTGGTTCTCCAGTTCCAGTCCTGCAGCATGTACGTTATTTTTGGGTTCTTGTTCACGCTCCTACTTACAAAACAAAGTACAAGTTAAAGCAATTTACAACCAACTTATCTTACAGTAATTACAGCACATTGTAGTTTCTTACATCATTATAAGTCGTTAAACTCAAAGACATAACCGCTAGTAAACTTCAATTTGAGATTACATTTACATGCAATTAGATAATCCTGACTCATTTCTCCTTCCTTATAACTATCTATTTTCATTTATCTTAATCCTAAAAAGGCTAACACTTTTACCCTTCTAGCCACCACTCTACTGTCCACACATTAGTATTTTTAAAAATATGGAATCTGCTGTTCTTCTGTACCATTTTAGAAGTTCCACTTCAATAGGCGAACTGCTGATCTAGTAGTAATGTCACTGGATAGTAACCCAGAACCCTAGATTAATGCTCTGAAAACATCTGTTTGATTCCCATCATGACAAATGGAGAAATTAGGATTCAATAAAATAAAAATCAGAAAAAAAATCTGGCCTTGTAACAACCCACATGGTTCACTGAAGTCCGTTAGGGAAGGAAATCTGCATCCTTACCTGGTCTAGTCAAATGTGACTCCAGACCACGGTAATGTGGTTGATTTGTAACTAGCCTCTGGACAATGAGTGGAGCAATAAATACTGATGCCCACATCCTGTGAACAAATAAAGCTTATATAGGGGTGGCAGAGCGGCTCAGTGGTTAGAACTGCTGCCTCACAGTTTTGACAGACTTCAGGGAACCAGGAGTTGGTTACTACAGATTTTCCAACCTCTGAACTGTTCTGTTGCATGGGAACTCTACAGAATTCCTAGCTTTTCAAAAGATTCTTTTCAGGGCAGATCATATTTCAAATTAACCAGTACCAACTTTTTTTGGTCAAATGACTCAATTGGAATACGGATTCTCTAAGAACCTGTGAATATTTCTAGGGATCCAATTTCAGAATAAGTAATGAAAATGCAAATTGTTTGAAAGGAAGGGTCAGCCTTTTGTTTTGGTTCAGCAGCCAATTCCTTTCTGCAGAGATATTTCAAGACATTGATGATTGTTCTATTCCACTCCTTTTTCATCTTATTTTCAACTGGCTAACTCCACTGAAGAGAATTCTAATCATTTGTCAACCATGTAGGTTTTAGAGAATCACTTAAAGACTGAAATTGAGGCAGAAAGTTTTAGGGAGGGCCCTCCAGAGCTGGGCCTGTTGACAAAGGCATAGTCGGTGATGGCAAAATTAAAACCAAGAGTACACAACAAGTCCAAATGAGTAGTGTGTAGAGTGCCAGAGGCCTGGAGGAAGTTTCAGACCCTGTCTCATTTTGGTCTCCCAGTCTGCAAGATGCATACTACAGCTGTAGGTTGTGGGACTGAGATGAGCTTTCCAGATGAGCTGTAGATCTAATGTAATTATTAAAGGTGCATTATTTTGTTTCAGTATAGCTTCTAAGGAGTTGCAATCATAATTTTGTGAATAAGCCTGTCTGAGAAACAGTCTACAGTCACTGTTAGCTTTGTAGCTAGTAGTGGGAGATATGGTTAGACTATGTCAACACCTTGTGGTTCTGTATCAACGCTGCAGTGGTCCAGTATCTCTGACCACAACACTTCCGTTCATATTCATTGGCTGTTTGGCTTTGTGTACTAAGATGCAGTTAAACTCTGTATGTGATAAGTCGCAAATTACCCACGATTTTCAGCCAGCTACCCAAGGAAGAGAACACTGCTTTTTTTTAACATTACGTTTTTTGGGGATGTAGGCATTGCTGCCAAGGCCAGCATGTACTCCCCATCCTGAACTGTCCTCGAGAAGGTGGTAGTGAGCTGCCTTCTTGAATTGCTGCAGTCTCTGGAGTCACACCCACAGTGCCTTTAGGAGAGGAGTTTGAGGCTTCTGATCCGACAAGTGAAAGAATGATGACACAATTCCAAGTCAGGATGAGAGTGGCTGGGAGGAGAAATTGCAGCTCCTGGAATTCTAATTCATCTGCTGCCTTTTTAGGTGTTAGCTCATTTGGAAGATACCATTGAAGGAGCCTTGGTGAGTTGCTGCAGTGCATCTTGTAGACAATGCGTACTGCTGTGACTGCTGTGACTGTGCATTGGTGTTGGAAGGAGTGAATGTTGAAGGTGCTGGATTAGGTGTTGATGAAGTGGGCTACTTTGTCCTGAATGGTGTTAAGCTTCTTGAGTGTTCTTGGAGTTTGACAACATGTAAATTTTGGTTCAATTTCTAATGTTAGATAAAACAAAACTAATGTATTTACTGCATTACACTGGAGAGTGACAGTGAAGTGTTATTACCTGTTTTTCCACTTTACCTAATTTGATTTAAATAACACCATTAATTAGTGCTGTTGAGAGAAATTGCTCATTCTGCTTTGTTTAAAAAGAGGAGAATTGTGATGGATTTCAATGGTGTAACACAATTTCTTGGATCCTAATATTTTTCAGCCAGATGTAAGGAGTTTCTTTACTCTTTCATGGGATGTGTAATGAGACAGATTTGATTAGTGAGTTAAAGGTGAAGGAAACCCTAGGGGACAGTGACCATAATATGACAGAATTCACCCTGCAGTTTGAGAGGGAGAACCTGGAATCAGATGTTACAGTATTACAACTGGGTAAAGGGAACTACAAAGACATGAGGGAGGGGCTGGCAAGAGTTGATTGGAAAGGGAACCTAGCAGGGAAGATGGTGGAGAGCAATGGCTGAAGTTTCTGGGGGTAATTCAGGAGGCACAGCAGAAATTCAACACAAGGAAGAAGAAACTACTAAGGGGAGGACGAGGCATGATGATACACAGGCAATGGATAGTCTTTAAATAATTTTTTTTTTACATAGCTCACAGCAACTATTCATTCTTTCAAACACATGTAAGCCCCAGAAAAGTCAATCGACTGTGGCTAACAAAGGAAGTTAAGGATTGTACAAGTTAGAAGAAAAGGCCTAGAAGGTTGGGTAGTTGAGTAGTGCAGTGTGGGGAAAGTGAACTGGGAAAAGTGGTTATGAACTTTGGTAGGAAGAATAGAAGCACAGACTATTTTCTGAATGGGGTGAGGCTTCAGATGCCTGGAGCACAACGTGACTTGGGAGTCCTAGTCCAGGATTCTCTTAAGGTTAACACACAGGTTCAGTTGGCTGTTAGGAAGGCAAATGCAATGTTAGCCTTCATTTTGACAGGACTAGAATACAAGAGCAGGAATCTACTGCTGAGATTGTATAAGGCTTTGGTCTGACTGCATTTGGAATATTGTGAGCAGTTTTGAGCTCCGCATCTAAGGAAGGATGCGCTGGCCTTGGTGGGGGTCCAGACGAGGTTTGCACGAACAATCCTAGGAATGAAAGGTTTGTCATATGAGGAACAGTTCAGAACTCTGGATCTGTACTTGATGGAGTTTAGAAGAATGGAGCTTAGGAGGATGAAGAGGGAAGGATCTCATTGAAACTTACACAATACTGAGAGGCCTGGCTAGATTGGACATGGAGAAGATATTTTCTCTAGTAGGAGAGGAGAGACTAGGGCCTGAGGCAAAGCATCAGAGTGGAGGGACAACTCTTTAGAACTGAGATGAGGAGGAAATTCTTCAGTCAGAAGGTAGTTGATCTGTGCAACTCATTGCCACAAGGGGGCTGTGGAGGCCAAGTCTTTCAGTGTATTTAAGACAGAGATAGATTCTTGATTAGTGAGGGGATCAAGGGTTATAGAGAGAAGGCCGCCGAATGCGGTCAAGAAACATATCAGACATGATTGAATAGTGGAGCAGACTCAAATGGGCCGACTAGCCTGATTCTGCTCCTATATCTTATGGCCTTATGTGAGTGTCACTAGCTAGGCCAGGACTTATTGCTAGTTCAGAGTCAATCACATTGCTGTGGGTATGCAGTCACATGTCAGTCTGACCAAATAAGAATGACCGATTTCCTTCCATCAGTGAACCAGATGGGTTTTTACAACAATCAACAATGTTTACATTAGTCTGGTTCTTTTTCCTTTAAATCACAGAGATTCCCTGAATTCTGATTTCACCATCTGCCGTGGAAGAATTTGAACCCATGTCCCTAAGGCATTAACCAAGGTTCTGGATTGCTAGACCGGAGACATTAACACTACCCCACTGTCTCCCTATTAAGGAGAAAGGGGAATACCCTATAGTATACAGGACAATAGCTTCAATTAAAAGGACAAGGTGGTGACACTGAACCCAAGGTAATACTTACAATAAGAGCCGTAAAACATGGCATTCGAGCCTAGCATTCCCTCCAAGAACGTTAAGGACAGGAAGATACAAATTTAAAGGAACCAGTTGAGTTGAGGAAAAGCCTTATCATGCAGTGAGTGGTTCGGGTCTGGAATGTACCACCTGACAGTATCATCGAATCCCTACAGTGTGGAAACAGGCAATTCGGCCCAACAAGTCCACACTGACCCTCAGAGTATCCCACCCAGACCCATCCCCCTGTAACCCAACTAAGCTACACACCCCTGAACCCTATGGGCAATTTAGCATGACCAATTCACCTAGCCTGCACATCTTTGGACTGTGGGAGGAAACCGGAGCACCTGGAAGAAACCCACGCAGACACTGGGAGAATGTGCAAACTCCACACAGACAGTTGCCTGAAGGTGGAATCGAACCCGGGTTGCTGGCACTGTGAGGCAACAGTGCTACCCATTGAGCCACCGTGCCGCCCCAAGTGCAATTGAGACTGTCAAAAGGGAATTAGACTGTTACCTTAAATGGAAGAATATATGTCGGGTTATGGAAAGAACATGGGACACTGGTCCTAAACAATTTACTCATTTGGACAGCCAGGGTCGACAATATGGGCTGAGTGATCTCTGTGCAGTGAAAATGGAATTACACGAAATATAGTCCCTTACTACAAAGCAATAACTTCCAAGTCATATCCAGAAAGCAGCTACAGGTAACCTCTGGCAGTAGAAGGAGTACTCACCTTTCCAGAAGAGATGTGTGCACACTCTGCAAGACCACCACTGGAACCTAGTGATTCTGGGTCCTGTGTGTTATCATTATTGATTTCACTTTCACCATCCAGGGGATGGTCTGCATCTGTTCGCGAAGTGGCACAAGGGGCTGTTTCGCTATAAAACGGTGCACGGCCAGCACAAGAAGTGACGAGATTTGATTTCTTCTCAATCCTCTTAATCACGGACGAGATGACTACTTCTGCTGACTGCTGCTTTTCTGAAGCTGCCGACTCAGAACCACTTCCACTGAAAGCTGGCTGTCCCACAGCAGCCGGTTCTGTGTGCAAATCTTCTGCAGCAGGTTTTGGAGTCCCACAGTGTTCCTGTACCTGCCTTATCGAGGTCTGCAGCATCTCACTAGACTTGGTATAAAACAGCCCGATCCACATGTGAAGAATAAGCTTCACTTCCTTCATGGTCTCTTGGATAGTCGGATCCCAAGGCCTAAGGGGGAAAAAGGGGCAGATGGGCGAAAGTATTATCAAGTAGAGGAAAAGAAACTAACAGGTATTCCCAAGCACAATTATCAGACTTCTCTTTTGTAGAATCCTGCACCTCCAATCTCTCAAGTTTCCTCAGTGTGGAGTGAACCTAGTATTTGATGTGCTACATCACTTTCCCATTGAAGAAACCTGCCCAGTCCTGACCTGATTATAATGGGATATGCATACTTTCCAGCACTGTCTCTTCCAGCTGGCTTTCCCGTTTATTGGGGATGTCTGTTTATTCAGGACATTCGGCAGCAATGTTGTCTATATTAGGCACTCTTGGAGGTTTTCTTTTTAAAAATGTGCTCTCCCCGTGACAAATTTGATGACAGGAAATACCTCCTCAGCCCACAATGTCCAAGGGGCAGTTGGCATCACTGTGGTGTATCCACAGAGCTGACACCTATGTGGATAACATGTTTGACAAAGTGGTCAGACCACACAACAGGAGCATGCAGGCAGAGAGGCAATGGGCAACACCAGGAAGTCCAGGTAGATAGTGCTAGAGTCCACTGAGTTTCTCACACTCACCAGCCAGTTTTCCACTAAGGCACTGGCTTGTCAGAGTAATGTAGCAAGACCCAAGCTTGCGGCACCGCGAGTGACCTAGCTGTTTGAGTTGGACGAGCCAAGAGTGGAAGAGCGATAATAGTAAGCGATTCAATTAATAGGGAATAAAACGATATTTCATTGGCTGTAGACATGACCTCCAGGACAGTGTGTTGTGTCCCTGATGTCAGGGTCATAGAATGACTGCAGGTCATTCTTTTGGGGAAGATTGAAGAGTTGGGGACAAACTCTTGGTCCGCACTAGCACCAACGACAAAGGCAGAAAGAGAAATGAGATCTTGGAAGGAGAATTTAAGGGGCTAGGCATGAGACTGAAATGTAGAACCTTGAAGGCAATCATCTCAGGATTACTCCCAATAACCTTTTGCTAGTAAATGTAAAGACTGAAAGAATAAGTGAATGATCATGTTGGATGAAAAAATGGCCCAGGAGAGAGGTCTTTAGACATCTGTGTTATTGAGACTGGTTCTGGGACCAAGGGGAACTGAAAAAGGACATTTTCTACTGCTACTGGTGTTGGTTTAAATAACTTGCCAGAGGGGCGGAAACCATAAACAGACACCATAAAAACAAAGCTGGTTGCAGTAAGTGCTGCAAATGTAAATGGAAAGCAGCAGAAATAAGACCATTAGACCATAAGATACATAAACATTGCTTTTGCTTTCCTAACTGCCTACTGAACCTGTATGTTAACCTTAAGAGAGTCCTGACTAGGTCTCCCAAGTCCCTTTGTGCTTCAAATTTCCAAAGCCTTTCCCCATTTAGAAAATAGTCATGGCTCTATTCTTCCAATAAAGTTTATAACCTCAAACTTTTCCACATTTTATTCTATCTGCCACTCTTAGCCTTTCCAAGTCCTTCTGCAGATTCCCTGCTTCCTCAACACTACCTGTCCCTCCACCTATCTTTGTGTCTTCCGCAAACTTAGCAAAAGAGCCCTCAGTTCCTTTGTCTGGACTACTAATGTATAACGTGATTAGTTATGGTCCCAACACGGATCCCTTTGGAACTCGATTAGTCACCAAAAAGACCCCATTATCCCCACTCTCTCTCTGCCTTCCACTAGTCAGTGAATCCTCTATCCATGCCAGTACCTTGATCCTAACACCATGGGTTCGTCTGTTTTGTTGCAGTCTCCTGTGTGGCACCTTGTCAAGGGCCTTCTGGAAATTCAAATAGATCACATCCACTGGGTCTTTGTATAATTGCTTGTCGCCTCCTCAAAGAATTTTAACAGATTTGTTAGGCATGACTTCCCTTTGAAAAAGCCTTGCTATTTTCCATTCACTTCCAAGGATTCTGCAATCTCATCCATAATAATGGACTCTAAAAGCTTACAAACAACTGAGGTCAGGTTAACTGTCCTCTAGTTTCCTGCTTTCTGCCTCCCTCCCTTCTTAACATAGTCATTTTCCAGTCCTTGAGCACCCTCCCTGGCTCCACTACTTCCTGGAGAATCATCATAAACGCCTTTACAAACTCCTCAGCTATCTCCTTCAGAACTCTGGAGTGTAGCCCATCCGGTCCAGGTGATTTATCCACCTTCAGATCTTTCAGCTTCCCCGGCACCTTCTCCCTAGTGATGGCCACTACACTCATCTCTGCCCGCTGAGTCTCTTGAAGTTCTGGTATACTGCTGGTATCTTCAACAGTGAAAACTGATGCAAAGTACCTGTTCAGTTTCTTTGCCATTTCCTTTTTCTTCATTACTACTTCTCTAGTCTCATTTTCCAGCAGTCCCAATATCCATTCTTGCCTTTCTCTTACCTTTAATGTATCTAAAAAATTCTTCTTTTGTATTACTAACTAGCCTATGCTCATATTTCATCTTCTCCCCAATTTATTCCTCTGCTGGTTTTTAAAGGCTTCCCAGGCCTCTGGCTTCTCACTAATCTTCACTACATTGTATGATTTCTCTTTGCTTTTTGCAGTCCCTGATTTGCCTTGTCAGCCACGCTTGCCTCGTCCTCTTTTCCCTCGAGATGAATTTCTGCTGTGTCTCCCAAGGTACCGGCAGAAACCCAGCCAATGCTGCACCAACGTCTTCCCTGCTAGGCTCCCTTCCAATTAACTCTGGTCAGTTCCTCCCTCATGTCTTTGTAATCATCTTTACAAAATTGTAATACTGCTACCTCTGATTCCAGCTTCTCTCTCTCAAACTGCAGGGTGAATTCTACCATGTATGGTCACTGCTCCTTAGGGGCTCCTTCAGCTTCAGCTCCATATTCATCAAACATCAACCAGGATCAAATTGCTGATCATAATGTATGCAGCATTCACAATTAGAATGGGAAATTGATGGCACTAGTAAAAGAGTATGACTTAATTGACCATTACGGAGACATGGCTATAGTGTGACCAAGACTAGGAACTGAATATTAAAGGATATTTGATATTTAGGAGGGATGTGCAAAAGGAAAAAGGTGGGGTAGTGCTGATACTACGGGACAGGATCAGGATATTTGTGAGAGAGTATTACCAATCGGAAGAATAGAATATAGAACAGGATAAGTTAAAAATAGTATTAGATCAAAAGGTTTACGAATTTACCAAAAAAAGTTGTAAGCCTGAGGTTTGGGAGAATTTTAGAATTCAAATAAGGTAAAGAAATTGATGAACAGGAAGAATAGAACAGGAATGTAAAAAGATGAATTAAAAATGGATTGTAAAAACTTCTGTAGATATATAAATAGAAAAGATTAATAAAGACAAATGCATGTCAGGCAGAGATTGGATAGTTTATAACAGGAGAAAGAGGAATGATAGAGAAGCTGAGCAGGTACTTTGAGTCTGTCTTCAAAGAACAAGATACACGAAGTTCCTGAAATGACCGAGATACAAGGTGTGAAACTGAGAGAAATCCGTATTTTAAAAATAAAGCAGCATTGGAGAAATTAATGGGACTCAAAGTTGACAAATCTACAGGAAACAATGGCCTTCACCCCAGAGGCTGTTAAGAGATGGCTAAAGAAATAGTGGGTGCATTGGTGATATCATAATTCTATTAATTCTGTGCCGAAGTCTGCAAATTATCATTCAAGAAGTGAGGGCCAGAGAAAACAGGAAACTAGAGACCTTTTAGCCTGATGTCAGCAGTGGGGAAAATATTAGAATCTATTATAAGGGATGCAGTTACTTGATATTTAGAAAATGATTGCCTAATGAGACAGAGTTTACATGAATTTATTAAGGAGAAATCATGTGTGACAAAACTGAGTGTATTTGGAAGAGATTACTAGTAAAGTCAATAAGAAGGAACCAGTGGCTCCAGTGGTCCCACACAGGAGTTTAGTAAACAAAACTAATGCACATGGGATAGGAAGTAATATAAGAGCATGGACGGAGGGAAGTGGTTAATAGGCAGAAAGCAAAAATGAATGGGTCATTCCTAAGTTGGCAGGCTGTGACTAGTGGGTTACTGCAACAATTAATGCTTGGATCCTGGCTGTTCACAACCTATATCAATGATTTTTATGTGGGGATCAATTGTAATATTTCCATGTTTGCAGACGATACAAAACTTGATGGGAGGAAGAGTTGTGAGGAGGATGCAATGAGACTTTAGGGGAATGTAGACAGACTCAATGATTGAGCAAGCACATGGTAGTTGGAATATTATGGGGCTAAGTGTGGGGTCATATACTTTAGTAGGAGGAACTGAATCTAGAATATTTCTTGAAAGATTGGAAAGGGTCAATGTCCACAGGGGCCTAGGTGTCCTTATTCATAAGCCATTGAAATCTAACACGTAAGTGCAACAAACAACCCAGAAGGAAAATGGAACATTAGCCCTTACTGCAACAGACTTTGATTACAGCACCAAAGAAGTTTTTCTTTAATTGTATAAAATACTAATGATATTGCACCCAGAGTAATGTGTGTAGGTCTGGTACCCTTGCCTGAGGAAGGATGTACTTGCCACAAGTGGGGTGTACCAGGCTGATCCATGGAATGGTGGGGATGTCCCATGAAGGGAGACTGAGGAGCATGAATGAGATTTTAAAAATTCTTAAAGGAATAGATAGAATGTTTCCCCTGGCTGTGAGATCCAGACCCAAGGCACCCAGTCTCAGAATAAACGGCATACATTTAGGACTGAGATTAAGAAGGACTCTTCTCTCAGAGGGTGTGGACTTTTAGAATTCTCCAAAAGGCTGTAGAAATTCAGTTATGAAGTTTAAGAGAGAGATTGTTGGATTTCTAGTTGTTAATGACATCAAAGGGATATGGGAATGGGAGTTAAGGTAGATGATCAGCTGTGATCCAGAATGACGGGACAGGCTTGAGGGGCTGATTGGTGTGAGATATTGTATTATTATTCTCTTTACTAACTCACTCACAAGAGCTTTATGTTTACTATACTGCATTTCCATTTACGCATTCATA